TACTCCTCATTAGGAGACTCCCACGTCTAGCGCTGAGAGTGGGGCTTCTGCGATTGCCAGTTACCATGGATTGTCTTGGTCGCCGTGATGAACTCAGATAGCCGCTCACCCTGTTCGTTCCATTCTAATCCGTGGGTCCCAATGTGACGTTCTTCAGACGTTCTTCTTGGTCTAATCTTGTTGTTGAAATCTCCAAGATGACCTTGAAGAATGTATGGTCTTCTTTATAGAACTTCTCCAAGTCCATATAGAACGCTTCGACTTCTTCTTCGTCATAGTTTAATGTCGGCGCGTAAACGACGAAGATTGTCAGAGGCGGAATTGTTCCACATCTTTTTAATCGTAAATGTCCGATTCGGGTTGTAAGTTGTTCGAATGAATCGATGTTCATGGACAAACTCGTATTGACGAGAACGCCGACGCCGCTGAGGAACTGCCTCTACTGCCGCATGTTCCGAGGAACAGTTCTTCTCCGGTGTCATAGACGGCGTTGATTGGGTGGCGTCGTCTCGTCACGGCCAGGTCCATGACGTCGTACCTTGTCCTTCTTGCTTACATGAGCAAGTCTTCCATTTGAGGACTCGGATGCAAGTGTACGTGCATTGTAGGCCCAGATCGTCACTTTGGTTTGTCATGATCCAGGCAGCTTCCATTGGTCTTGAGATTTTAGCACCCTCTCAGTATTCGTCCTGCCCAACGGTGCAAAAGTGAGGGCTCTTTCGGTGTCCGGGGAATGAGGCCCGTTTCTTTTACTGTCTTTAGCTTTTTAATACCCATGTATAGCTTTCGGGGCTCTGAACGTGGGGCTGGGTACACTTACGAGTAGTTTACCAGATGCTTCCAGAGTGAACATGGAGCTTCTTTGTTGGAGGCGACTCCTAACCGCCTCTCATACACTTTGCTGTCACTTGATTGCAGACTTTTGGCTGAATTGACTCGTAGAATACAATACGCATAAGCAAGAACGCACCCACACGCGCATGCATGAATACGCCTAGCAAATAGAGGTGTGTGCCAAATCATCACAGCAGAAACAGGGAGTCCATCTCTTGGATCCACCTGCGTCTCAGGAAGTAAAGGTCGCTTTTGGTCCGCTATTCACCTCTTATTCGCCACCTAGGGAGCGCCACGTAGCACTGCGACTAACCGGCTAGAGATCCCTCATATGAGGGAGATCCGTGGATAACGTGCTAAAAGTCCGAAGTGCCGGGAATGTTATGCATTGTAACAACAATTCATGGACAAGAGCTATTCTTAACTGCATCTCATAGGATATCAAGAAAGTAATAGATAGAACATAAGATCGATGCTTAGTACTCTCCGACCTGAGAAGACCTGCATCATACTCGGATTTTAGAGCGAGCGGTACCCAGTGGACTACCCTTCCGCCGCACCCGAAGAAGCTAAAGATACACCTGCCTTCTTTTTAGTCACTCTGCAGTCAGTGGTAAAGCAAATGATATAGGTGATATTGCTGTTTCATCCAAAGCAGCCTATGACTATGAGTGAAGCAAACTCAGGTTACGTTTAAAGAAAAATCGATTCCCTTGAGCAGCAACGAATATTTTGGCAAGGTGGGCGAAAGAACTTGTGTGGTCATAAAAATGAGCACACAGAAAATACAAACTATAGAGAAGTACTCCTTCAAGTGCATATACAATATGCTTAAATAAAGAGTGCAAAATCAGGTCGAACACACCTCAGCTCCGCATTCAGGACGGTCGGATAGCGGAGTTACCATCATAGAACAAATTAGCAATTTTAGAAAAAAGAAAGAGTTATTAGACAAGAAAAGAAACCTGAGGCTGGTTCAATGGAACGCAGTTGACGAGATTCGTGATATATGTGGATTACATAAGATCCTTGTGAGAAGATTTCTGGCAATTCCGGAAGAAAATTCATACGAGCTAACTCATTCAGAAAGACGAGTGAGAGGAACCTATCATCAATATAACATTCTACCATAAACCATAGTGAATAGTAGACGAGATTTCTGCAATCTCCCTCTATAATGTTAAGATAACAACGATGAGGCTCTGCTGTGTCATCTTTAATCTGGAGCTTTGTACAAGGACTAATCATCGTGTACAGGAAAACCTTGCAGAGATCTTCCCTCAATCTGCACAGCGAAAGATCGTCGAAAAGAAAAGGATTCTATACGCGTGAAAGCACCCAACGCATCAATCATCTTCCCAAAAAAGGATAGGTAGAAACAACATCGTAACTGACATCTTCCTTTCTTGTTAAAGGCATTCGAGAATCTCATTATTGAAATGATTTTTCAGCGCATAGTAACCATTTCGCGACAAACTTGGTTTCTCGGTAAATGACGATAATTTATCGATGATTATTTCAGAAGTTCAAAACAGTTTTATGGAACAAACTTTACTCCATCGCATGAATGGCACATACAGTTTCCGTAAAAAGTTATGTTCCCTTTAGCAATAAGATTTTGAAAAATCCATGACGAAACCCTATTCTATGTGCAAAGATTTGTAATGAAAGTTTTTATTGATTTTAATAAAATGTAATTTGGTACGAGACATGTTGACTTAAAGTTGGAAGATCCATGACTTTCGCATCGTATGACTCTTGTAGAGGTCATCTCGCTGCGCAGTAATTGTAACCTAATCACTTTAGGAAGACGGATCACGAGTTCTACTTTACTATGGAAAAGGTGAGTAATTCATACGGAAACATTGCTAACGAATGGAGCAATTGCTTGGGTGGCCCTACGAAGAACGATGGCGATGACTCCATGGAAAACGAATTGGAATGGGTGACTCTTGGTTTCTGTGGACTCCACTCTATAGCTAGAACTTGGACATCTGGATACTTGGACGACACGCCCTCCGTGGTTGTGCGGGCCACAGCATAATCTCCATTTTTCTGAGTTTTGCTGGTTTAGCTACGGTGTTTCACCAGACTCCCGAGGTAAGCCTAGCCAAAATCTGCTTCTGGTCGTCACCACCACAGGTAATCGCAGCTTTTGTGGAGCAGATGAAGATTTACCACCTTGCAACTATTTTGATGCCAGGACGGTGATCGATCCTGGTAATGATTTACTCTTAACTAGGTTTCCTGATGGAAATGCCGAGCTCTTTCTGTTTCGGAGACCTCGCCGAGGCGATGAATCCCTCTGCTGTAGATCGCAATCCAACACCTAAGAACATCTCACAGCCACGATGAGGAGGTAAACCACCATGAGCATAGGCGAGTGTTGTGTTAGAATAGCTAGAACATTCAATAAACTCTAATAAACAGTTTGTAAACGACATTCGAAGCTAGGCGCGAAAACGTCTGACCGCATCATACATGAGGTAGATCGTCTCAGGGGACGGAGATCAAGAGCTGAAGAAGCGAATGGGAATTGTGATGCTCATCTGGTGACTCACCTACAACATATCCTGGTAAAGCACTGCTAATGGGGACGAAGATCACTGTATTGTAACAGGTTAACAACGTTTTGGCCAAGTAAACACTTATACAGGAAGATCAGTCGGGCGTAGGAAGCGATCTACCAACAGATCTGTGAATTTTCTCAACGCGCGAAATTGATATTTGTCATCTTCCCGTTGTAGTGTTACAGCGCCTTGCCTTTAGAAGATATTTTGTCGCACTACTGTTTGTTCAATTCATCTGGATCTCTTTCTCACGTAGGAGTCCACATATCAGTCACCAAGCGATTATTGTTCGTGTCGACTCTGCTAGCTCCATCGGATAACTCTGCTTTCTGTAATAACAAAGAAGTTTATCATTTCCGATATTGACCAGTGTATGCCAGCTTGAGTTCATCGAGCTTGATTATATTCGAGAGGGTCAAACTACTCGTTTGTCGTATGGCACATGTAGCTTGAAATAGCTCTCAACCTCTACTGCACTATTACTCAGACAAATTCATAACTGTTTTTTCAGGAATATGGAGCATTGTTTCCCAATTCGTGTAATCACGGCTTTACTATTTTCGATTATTGTAAAGTTGCAAGCGACTACAGAAGAAATAGCCCCAAGTGAGTCTCCTCGATTTTGATGTCGTCTTCTTTATTCGCACTGGTTAGTACAGAGCTTTTCTGAACTAATCAATATTAAAACCAAATTTGCAATAATATTAAAGTAAGAGCTGCGTTTCGTACTCGACAAAGTGTGAGATAACGATCGTCCAGGCTTTTTTGCCTTACCGAATGAGTGGGTTCCATGTTTGGCACGGGTACAAGATAGGCCTTCACTAAGAGCATGGTAGAAAGGAAACCCACAACCCCCTCTTGGTTGAACATTTAGAAGTGCGGCACAGTTGAACGTCGAGAGCGACTTGTTGGCATTCGAAAATGGTGTTCGGTTCACTAGAGCTAGCAAATCTTATGGTCAGAGTGATTCGTAAGAAAATATGTGGATCGACTCCAGCACATAAGCTAGACTACAGCAAGCAATGTGCTCATCAGATTCGCAATCACAAGACAGAAGGCGTAAAGTCGCAATGTGGTCCTGATAACATATGATTCGCTGTCTTTGTAATTTGATGTCAATGACAATATTGAGCTATATGACATACTAAGGGCGTGTGTGGCGCAGTGGTTGGAGGCGCCACTAGACACCACGTAGAGTCGATCCCCGCGTCCATGTCCCGCCAAACCTTACATCGCTGCGATGTCGTCAAATTGGTACCAGACTTGTCTGGAAGGATACCAGCACTGGCTAGATACATCGGTAGGCCACCGCGAGTCTTCGTAAAGGCCAGATACGCATTCAATCACCTCCAACGATGCTTAATGAAGTTGAATGCGTGGCGCATCCCTCAGAGATTGATCAACGCCAAGAGCTTTATCCTTCATTTTATCCTTTATACGACATAATTGGACACTTCTATTGCACAAATTCACGGACGCTAATGAAAATTGAAGGAGGCGGCGAATGCTTGATTTTTTCACAAAAATTAGCTGTAGACCTACATATTTCAGTGAAACTGTAGCATTTTATGAATTCTAGAGTTCAATTCGGACACTATGATGCGGGCTTTGGGAGCTCCGTTGTGTCTCCGAAAATGTACAGATCCTTTTCTTGAAGAAGTTGCTAATCTCTGGAATATGCGCGAAATAGCGAAGAACATTCAGCCGTTGTGTCGGTAAATCTGGTTTGATTTTATCGCTCGCTTAAATTTTTTTTTCTGAAACCTAACTTCAAATCCAGTGTTAATTCTTCATATTATTTCCGTTCTCATCCCTCTTCAGAAGTCATGCGATTGCGTTGGACTGCCTTCACAAGCACCCCACATGTGATCCACACAACTTGTTCAAAACAGCTAGTAGCGGCGTGGAGAAGATGTGCGGTGAGCGAGCACCACTTCTTGAGAAGGTTCGACCGTGTCTCATCAAACACGGTGATATTCCCGCACAAGGTTCGTTAGCGCTGTGCAAGAGCCTAGTGGCATTTGCAATCATAGTTGTATGTACTACACAGTGTAAGCCACTGTTTGCTCACTACCTAGACAGTTTTTGTTGATATCTCTGCTCCTATAAATAATTTTTTACGATGAAGTTCGTGGCGCTCGTGAAATGTCCTAATTGTAATCCTTGACGGTCCTTTGCTTCAGTGTGCGACTCGAGGTGCCATGGTCGAGCCAACATCACCGCGTTCATAAATAATCCAGCAATCACGATGGCAGCACTGATGGGTGGTAACATTTTCACCGTTAATGAACATCTCGGTGGACTATGCAGGTGCCAATATTTTGTTTTCCTTGTGTCATCACCGAAAAAGTATTTAGAAAAAGGCAAACTGTCAAGCACGTTTTACCGTTGAACAGTGAGTGTTATCACCGCGTTTGCGGTTTCGATAACAAAGTGCTCTACTCATTAAAATTTGAAGGGCATCTGCATTCTTAAAGATAGTGCTAGCACTTTCTAAGAAATAATTAGGAAATAATACTCTGACAGACAATGTATGAAGTATCATTAAGAAAAGATTGACCAACTTCTCTGTCTTTAGTGGTTTGAAGTGTGCGTTACCGTGCATCACAATGGAGTTGAATAAAGTTTGTCCGCTCAGTGGATGGCTTACTTTAGTCAGTTTCGTTCACTGTTTAGTTTTAACATTTACATTTGTCCCGTTAAATCCGTACTACATAAAGGAACCGTTTTGCAGGACATTCTTCTTCAACCATTTGAGACAGTGGCAGATCATTTGCTTGATTCATCACCTTTGCTGAAAGACTTCATCACAAATAGAATCAACAAAAAATGCAAATTTCTGGTACAGAAGAGTGAACTTATAAAGCTTAGGAAGGGTCAGTTCAATCACTAAGGGCTAGAGTGATGTCTAGCCCATTCCGCCCTTCCATTTATAGTATCGATTTTCGTTGACTTGGTTAGTTATTGGATTTATGTGATGTGATAACGGTTTATAGTGGCTGGCGATTGTATCGTATTTTGTCTTATTGCATTGAAATGCCAATGCTGTTCTATTTATTGTTTTGCTGTCAATTTCGGGTGACTGCCCAAAATAATTACTGTAACTGTTTGAGAACATTTTACCTTATTTACGACTAATTACATTTGAACGACAGACTTCCGTTCCTATTTGGCGTGTTGTGTGAAGGTTACAGGCACTTTTAACATGGAATTCGATTCAAATCCACTGCTGGTCTTGTTGCTTTTCGTCGGTTGTACTGGAAAAGTTGTTCAATTCCAGAAAGGTAAGGGCATCTTTCTCCTGATTTATTGAGCCTTATATATGGTACTTTATAAAAATATAAATACGATACGATATTCAGCTCCATTGAGCAAATATAAATTTCTTGACTTTCCAGAAATTAAATATTAATCATATTTAATAAATTCGTGACAATGTCAAGCTTTTGTTGCCAAACACGATAACGACCCCTAGTTTTTCGTCGACTGAAGCAGAATGCATTGAACTCGGTGCGCATTGTCTATCGGTTTTCCTCAAGAAATAAACCACTCAGTTGGCACGAAATGGAAGAAAGCACCGCTGAGCTTTTACTTGTCTTTCCGCAGCAAAAATATCCTTGTATCCTCCTATTCTTTGCTACTGTTGTTAACAGAGATATTTTGTACTGCGCGTCATCAGATCTCCGTGATCAGGCGAATAAACTCGTCCGAGAAACAGCTTTTGTTATTTCTAAAGCATGCGAGGACCAAGGGTAAATTACAAAGTGTTGAAAATGGCTTTACTTGGCGAACACCTGATACATTGTGTGCGCGAAACCATCGAGTGAATGAAAAAACCGTAGGAAGGCTTCTACTGAAGAAACAAAAAAAAGAATGTACTGTGTATTAAATTAATTTCGATTCAACATTTCTGTTGAAGTTAGCTATTGTAGCAGTCTTTTTTCATTTTTCTAGTTTTCCATCACTACTTTTTTCTTCATAGCTTGCGTGGATCGCTGCTTACGCAAGCCACCGGATTCCCGAGAGGCGATTACCGACTTTTGATTTCTCGGCGCCATAGCGGTTCTAACCTTCTTAGAGCTCCAATAATATCGTACAGCAGCAAGCATCTTCCTCCTACGTTTCCATGGAGCGATTGCAGTTTCTTACAGTATGAAATTAGGGTGAAGTCTTTATTTCTGGAAAAATCAAAATTTATGGAATTAAACTACGCAGATGCAGAAAGTACATGGTCGGTTTTTCATTCATTACGTGACCGGAAGTCACGTGTACCGTGACCATACTGTGCAGGCACCAGCACTTTTCACATTCGATTCGCTTCCTCGCATCTATCGTGCACTAAAGTTTCCTAACTTCTTACTCAATGGTTTGGTTGTTGCTTGAGGATTCTCGTTTGTGTGAAGAATGTTGCTGAATGGTGGTCAGGTCGCTCATCCGTGGAATCCTGAGGTATCCGCGCTGCTTCTTTCCCACGAAGGGAGTGGTCTTATCGCAGAGAAGTATGGTGCCATTCTCCCGAATCCAGAGAGATTAGAGCGCTGGTGAGCGGTGTTGTCATCGATGATTCCCTTAAAATTAATATCTAAACCGGTTCTAATTCTCATTCCTAAATTTTTCCAACATATGGGGTGTCATGACAAATCGGATCGGTTAGAAGGCGCTTATCGTTTTTTGAAATCCGTAGTAGATTCATTTGCCTTACGTTGTGAACGCAATAGATATTTCCTTTGTCAATCTCGTAGATAGCGGGCATCAGCCATAATTTATTCAATACAGGGAGAGCTATTTTCTCTCCAGATCTGTGTACTACGGTGGTCGATTATAAGCTGAGGTTTAGTGGATAATTCATTCTTCTCAATGAATGTATTCTCAACACTTTGAGATCTAAACTAATATAAAGCTTCGTTAAACTTTCAAACTTTATTGCTAAACCTACTTCTTCTTGCATGCAAATTGTTTCGTCTACAATTCCATTAACCTATCACACTCCGCGTGGACACTAATAGCGCGCATAGCGACTTGGACCAAACGACAGTGTGGACATTATAGACTCGTATTCAGTTTAGTGCCTTCCAGAGTTTCTTTTTACCGCACTGTGTATACCCATTCGATAGCTAATCGAAAACAGATAATACTAGTAGTGAGACCAGAAAAGCCATTCTTTACACTTAACAATTTACGAAAAACGCCAAATGTCAGCCAAGTTAATGCTGCGGCGATTTTTCACGTTTTTTTTATTATTTAATATTTATTTTACGTGACTCGTCTTTCATATCTACTATGTGGATGCCAGTACTTCGTACATTTAATTCGTTTTCCCAGTTAGGTCATCCACGAAGGTTTTCCACCTCTAATATGTGGCTTCGGCAGCTGCTTGATGATTTTCCTTTCGTCATTAATGTCGTCGGATGGTGAGCTAGTCAGGTTAGAGCGTTCCGACTAGGAGACTGCAGAGAATGATTTTTTCCCGTATAAATCCAGCACCAACTTACCAATCTCGAAGAGATGAGAGCTATCGGCTTTCTTTGCAGTGATACACTACTTTAAATTACGACACTTCGAAAAATACACTGTATATAGGAATAAAAGCCATCGAAAAATCTATATGCATGTTTTTAGTAATAAATACACTGTTGACGTCAGCAAAATTGCAAACACTGTCTGGGAAGCGGTCAGCATCGACAAACTCTAATAGTTGGTCATCGATGTGGTTTATCGCGTTGAATGTTTGGAAACAATTCTGTCTTTGCTCTCATATTTTCCACAGATATTTTTGAAAACGATGCTTAAAAACACTTATATTACCATGACTGACTTTCTATTAACCTCGGCATTGGCCAAACGATTCTTTCTATTCTTGTTTAACAAACACGAAACAAATTTACTAGTAACCTTCACAATCAACTTACTTTACACTTACTCACTTCACCCTCTTATTTACTTCACTTTCTTCAACTAAACCTTCACGATCAACTTACTGTATCACATAGATCACAGAGGGAGTAGTTGGCTAGGCTTGCCAGAAGACTTCATCACCAGAAGTGCACTACTCCCCGGAAAGGACAATAGTGTGCATTCGTTCCCCACCGCATACACCTGCGGTCCGGAGCTTTGCAAATACCTCAGCATTATATACGAGTTATATTTCGCAACATACCCTGCCATTAAAAAGAAAACGCAGTAAATAAAAAGGTTAAGATATTTATCAACCTCGTGTAAGCTCATCAAGAAAGAACGCATATTGATTAGTCACACCGAGGTTAAAGGAAAGTCGGTTTCGAAATAGAACCATATGGGTTCAGTAGTCCCTAAAAATATCTGAAAAACTTTATTCAGTTGTAATCATTGTTTCGCAACCAGAGAAGTGATTTATTTGGTGAGAGAAGTTGGCTTTGAGAAGATGGAGTGCCCTATCCTCACTGACATATTGAAGCAGTTCCTTATCGAACTTATATTTTGCCTAGAATCTTGAGATAACAGTGTTACAGCGTCCCTAGGTGACCAGCACAGATACTAGTCGGCTATTCTGAATCTGTTCACCTCCGGAAAACCATCGAAAGGGTTTAACGCATTAGCTACTGGGTTCTCGAGTTGTTATCGTATTCGTCGGAACCTCAAAGAAGAATGAGATGTTCAGTGCAATACTTCTGTATGTATAAGGACAATGTCATTAACTACAACATCACCACATAATCGCTTCTTATCTGCAACCATCAATGGACAACGAGCAATCAGAAAACATCTTACTTGCTAAATACTTGAATGGCTCATCTTCACTAGTTGTGCGGTACCCAGGATAATCTCCATTTTTTCGGAGTTTTCCTGGTTTAGCCACTGTGGTTCTCTGGAGTGCAGAGGTCAGCCTAACCAAGATCTGCCCCAGTTCGTAACCACCACAGGCAGTCGCAGCCCTTGTGGATCAGAGGGAGATCTGCCACCATGCGACTAATTTGATACCAGGACGGTAGTGGTTCTTGGTTTACTACTAGCTAGGCTTTCTGATGGAAACGCCAGACTCCTTAGCTTGGGAGACCCTTCCAGGAGGATGAATATCCCAGCTGTACATAGCAACCCGACACCCAGGAACACCTCCCAGCCACGATGAGGCGGTAAACCGTTGGGAGGATCAGGAAACAACAGTAACTTCGTAACACTTGTGTCACGAAATCGTCCACCGAAATTTGACGTACCTAGTAGCAATTTAATCCCCATGCGCCGGGAAACATTGAGCAAGTACATGAAAGAAAGGACTTATGGGAAAAATTATAGTTAAGAATATTCGTAAAAACTATTGAGAGAAAAGATTTAAATGCTTACTAGCTTCGTAGGCAACAACATGTCACATTATCCTCGGCGTCTTCACCTTCTTCATTACCATTCTTGAGTGCTAGTTGATTGAAGATGGCTCTCAACTCCAAAAGCTTCAATTTTCGAGCCAGAAGACACCAAAAGATAGCTCGAATATTATTGGAATCCAGAGTCTCCTACTCACATCATCGAATGCTTTTGCTTAACCATAACATAGTCATACACAACAAGCAATAACTTGTATGACAAAAATATAAGCCGTTCTGGCACAGCGAAGAAAAGCGTGCTATCCCTTTGATTTCAGGACAAGTACCATGGCGACTTCCAGTCCTCTGTTTAACCCGATTACTCACCACCTAGGGTCACGTCACGCTTAGCAGCGGCTAGTGCAGCCGAAAATCGCCTACCTATGGTAGATCGTTAGGAAGTATTCCAGCACATATTTATCTATATGTTTCTGTGAATTGCACTTGTTGAGCTTGTGCGAGTTTGGTGTAAGCTGCCGTTCTAGCAACAACACTAGTCTGAGGAAGGCGAGATCGACAAAGACAACAACAACAACAATTTATGCCAACCTGGCATCAG